CCCCAAAACCCCAAAACCCCAAAACCCCTTAATTTTCAATTTAAATTGGATATTATATTTAAACATAAATGAAAGATAACAAGCTAGATCATAATGCAAAGGCTCCAGACAACTACTGGGAATACTATTTGCACAATAATGCAATTTGGCAGGAAATCAAGAGATCACCAGTCTTTGAGGATGGCCACCTTGCAGAAGACAATATTGAGCAGATGTACCAAGAACATAGGGTTAAGATGCTAAGGACTAACTGGAGTTTCATTCTGTTGGTACTCAAAGCTATGATATTAATCATATCCATTTGTTTGCAGTTTAATTACGAATATGCGTCTGCTTATGAGAGAATAACCCTATTCTTAGTACTCATTCTTCTGTTTGTCCTGAAGCACTTCATATATAAAAATAACACTGTTGCTAACTATGGAGCTGTAATCATAATTATATTGACAGGGTCTGTGATCACCTCTGTAAACATAGAATTCACTCAGTTCAGGTAAGTTATTAGGAGTACTGTCTCTGAGTGCTTGGTATATTTTTATTCGAAGAGTGAGGATTTGTTCTATTATAGGTGATTCCTCGTCATTTTTAATACTGAAGATTTCATGAATGTTGCTGAAGGTCTTTGGGATTACTTAATTTAGCTTTCATTTAATAGTTCTAATTGTAGAATAGGGTTTATGAAGCGTTTTTATTTCATTTGTCAGTATCGTTCCTGCTCTCAACGTGAGTTGTATCTAACTGGAGAGTGTCCTGAGCAGCACTTTTATTGGTATATGCTAATCTCTATGTCATGCTAAGAATATACTTTGACTCTGTCCCGATAACAGTGCTGTTTGCATTAGGATCTTCCTTGACCGTATTTGGAATCAGTGGATTCCTGATATCAAGAAATTTGAAGCAAGAGTTCTTATCAACCTTTATTGCTCAACAGGCTTCATCACAACTGAAGAAGATTCTGGAAGGACTGCCTGAAGGAGTCACCATCATGAATGAGCAAGGGGATGAACTGAAGTTTATCAACCAAAAACTCAAGAAAACATTTGACCTTTCTCTGTTCTATCAAGCCCAAAAGCAAAGTATCCAACTTACCAAAATGAAAGAGGAAATTGATGAAGCTTTTAAGAAAGTTTACTCAAACATATCTACTGGGGCTTTGAATTCCAAAGATTCTCAGACACTTTCAGATGAAATTTTCAGCAATTTTATGACTAAATTAACAAAAGAGAAGATAGAGGAAGGAAAAGGAAATGATCCTGATGTTCAAGTGAAACATTGTGAGCAAGTGCCGTTACCACTCTTTCTTCAAAATGAAAGACAATTGTGCCATAATGAAAAATATTATGAAAGAAGCACAAAAGTATCTATATCGTACACTAACAAGCATCTTTGAAGAAAAGTTGAGTACTTGGATAGAGATTTTGTCATAAAGACTTCAAAAATAAGCATGGCAGATTCTTTTGATAAATTTCCAACTTTTCTTCATATGTTCATTGACACTACCCAGATTACTCAACTGGAGGAGGCCAAGGCTCAGAACAACTACCAGAGGCAGATGTTTTCAAATGTGTCACATGAGTTCAGGACTCCCCTTAATGCGATGTCTCTGTCGTTGCACCTGATGGAGCCTTATATTAAGAAAGAGCTTGTCAAATACCATAAGATATCATCTTCCTCATGAGGCATCCTTGGAAGCCTTGTCGAAGATATCATGGATTTATCGAAGATCGAGGCTGGAGTGTTTGAAATACAAGAGTCTGTGTTCACTTTCAAGCAACTCTTTGACGAAGTCCAGTCTATCTTTGAGATGCAGGCCCACATGAAGAAAATCAGCCTCAACTTCCAGATGGAAGATGTCTTTTTACAACTTGAAGTAAAGTCAGACAAGCAGAGACTCAAACAGATTCTACTGAACTTGGTGTCTAATTCTTTGAAGTTCACAGACAGAGGGTCTATAAATGTTGATCTCCATATACAGGAGCAGAAAAGAATTAACAGAGAAATAGATGAAAGTTGTACGTTTACCTCTAAATGTTTAGATGATCTAGCAGAGGCTTTACCTCCAGAATTTATTGATGAAATATCAGTATGAAACCTTCTTTTTGGATCAGACAACTATCAGTTTAAACCGAAGTTATCGAAGCTTGATCAGAAGGTTATTGATCCTCCTTGTGGAGATAAAACAACTGGGAGGATACTTCAAAGAGAAGGAGATGAGTCAATCCCCTCTAAGTTTACCAAGGAGCTTAAGGTAGAGCTTAGTGTGACCGATACTGGCATTGGAATTCCAAAGAAAGACTTGCCTTGCCTATTCAAGCTGTTTGGTAAGAGCCGCTCAAATCACAACAGAAACCAGACTGGGACTGGATTGGGCCTCACTATCTGCAAGAAGCTTTGTGAGAAATTAGGAGGAAAAATATCCCTAAAATCTAAAGAAGGAGTGGGTACCAAAATAACATGCTCATTCATATGTTATTATTAGACATTCATAATTATTTGATGTAATTCCAGTTGTCGATCCACACCCTGGGGTTTTGGGGTTTTGGGGTTTTGGGG